ATGGTTGTGTTTATATGATTGTATTAACGGGGTAACAGTTACAGAAATTTAGCTGGTTTTATTTACGTGGTTGTACTTACATGGATGTAGTTATATTGTTGTACTTAGAAGGTCGTTCTCTGCTGACTGTATGTACACAGTGGTACTAAAGTGGTTGTACTTACATGGCTTTGTACACTTTGGTGTGCTGATAGTAAGCCTAGGGGACGTAACTCTACAACATATGTTGAATATAAAACTACTAAAGGCGAGTTTAGTCGTTTACGTAGGATCGCCAAAAGGAGATATAGTAAAGAGGTGCGTCATGAGTTAGCACAGTCCTGTGACATTAACACTTTTTATAATACTGTGAGGAAACAAAAACGGCAAAATCGATCGGTGCAGAAGCTCAGTTACGGTGGTCAAACAGAATCATCTACTTCTGGCATATGCAAGCTATGGGGAGATGACTACGCTGACCTAGCGCAGCCTTACTACTTTGATAGTGTTAATGATAATTTCAAATGTCACATATGCGACAAGCTTAAGGAGATCAAGGGCAATAAGGATGGGGATCAAACTAATATAGATAAAGAGTTATACAAAAGTATAGATCCTAGAGAAAGCTTCTTACAAATACACAGTCTGTGTAAGAACAAAAGTCCAGGTCCAGACACCGTGTGCAATGAAAACTTGTTGTTTGCAAGCAGTAATCTTATATGTGTTATTGTAATTGTAATTGTATGTGTTACAATATGGCACCGAATGGTTCTCTCTACCAGCTTCTGGGGCGGTCGGGTAGCCTAGTGGTTAAAGCGTTCGCTCGTCACGTCGAAGACCCGGGTTCGATTCCCGACATGGGTACAATGTGTGAAGCCCATTTCTGGTGTCCCCCGCCGTGATATTGCTGGAATATTGCTAAAAGCGGCGTAAAACCATATTCACTCACTCACTCTACCAGCTTCTATACGTGTGAGCTGCTATGCTACATACGTGGTAAGGATACGATTCAGATAGAAAATGTTCAACGGCACTTTGCCAGAGTCATCCAAGGTCTAGACCAAAAATCATCAACTGATTCAACCATAGCAAATCTTGGAATGTGGACGCTGATAGGATACATAGACCAATGCAGAGTACTACTCCTCGGAAGACTGTGTACAAACTCATGCTTCTCTCCTATGAAACATATGTGTGCATACTTAGCCTTATTCAATGCTGACAATATCAAAACTAGCACTAGCATATGTGACACAATCATATGAACTGCTGGTAAATATAACCTTAAAATGTCATTATGAACTTTATCAGTACTGGAATATGTCCTTGTAAAAAAGAATGGAGAAGAATTGTATGTGATGCAATATCCTCATATGAAGAAGGTAGGAGGAAACTCAGACTGTCACTGAGAGAGGATCTGGTCCGATACAGGTCAGTTCGCTCTAAACTTAAACTACATGTATTATGGAAACTAGCACTAACTTATCCTCATCTTAGGTATTGCATCCAATACTCCCTTAAGTTAGCTTCCCGACCCATTACATCACGTGAATGTTCTAAATGTGGCAGCCTATGATTATGACAGACATGTACTTCTACACTGTAAATATTGTATAAATGATCGAAATGAATTCTTATCCACCCTCATTGACAAACTGGATATCGAAGGTTATGTTCAAATTGAACTTCTGGAAGAGAATGATATGCTCGCATTGTTCTGGGGCTCAGTAAACATGCAATCTGGAATTATGAACCTGTTTACATGGGAAAACATATAATTGATATTCTGTGAATGTGTCTTAAATTTCAGAAACGTATTAGATTAACCCCAAACTTATCTGTCGTATCGTAATAGTGCTCACTTGTATACATTGTAGATGACGAAAATATCTGTGTGTGTGTGCATGTGTGTGTGTGTGTGTGTGTGTGTGTATATATATATATATATGCATAAGTATTTTATGTGTTAAAAATGCACCCATCTATATAAATACTAGCGCAGTTCATTTGCTCTGAGAATATCAGATTTTGTAAATCTTAGGATGTAACTTATTGAGGAAATAAAGAAATTCATTCGTTCATTCATGATGCATGCATGCATTCATTCATTCATGGCTGTAGTTACATTGTTGTACTTAGAGGGCTGTTCTCACATGGCTGTATGCACACAGTGGTACTTACGTGGTTGTACTTACATGGCTGTAGTTACATTGTTGTAATTACATGGCTGTAGTTACATTGTTGTACTTAGAGGGCTGTTCTCACATGGCTGTATGTACACAGTGATACTTACGTGGTTGTACTTACATGGCTGTAGTTACATTGTTGTACTTAGAGGGTTGTTCTCACATGACTGTATGTACACAGTGATACTTACGTGGTTGTACTTACATGGCTGTAGTTACATTGTTGTACTTAGAGGGTTGTTCTCACATGACTGGTAGTACACAGTAGTACTTACGTGGTTGTACTTACATGGCTGTAGTTACATTGTTGTAATTAGAGGGCTGTTCTCACATGGCTGTATGTAAACAGTGATACTTACGTGGTTGTACTTACATGGCTGTAGTTACATTGTTGTACTTAGAGGGTTGTTCTCACATGACTGGTAGTACACAGTAGTACTTACGTGGTTGTACTTACATGGCTGTAGTTACATTGTTGTACTTAGAGGGTTGTTCTCACATGACTGTATGTACACAGTGATACTTACGTGGTTGTACTTACATGGCTGTAGTTACATTGTTGTACTTAGAGGGCTGTTCTCACATGGATGTATGTACACAGTGGTACTTACGTGGTTGTACTTACATGGCTGTAGTTACATTGTTGTAATTACATGGCTGTAGTTACATTGTTGTACTTAGAGGGCTGTTCTCACATGGCTGTATGTACACAGTGATACTTACGTGGTTGTACTTACATGGCTGTAGTTACATTGTTGTACTTAGAGGGTTGTTCTCACATGACTGTATGTACACAGTGATACTTACGTGGTTGTACTTACATGGCTGTAGTTACATTGTTGTACTTAGAGGGTTGTTCTCACATGACTGGTAGTACACAGTAGTACTTACGTGGTTGTACTTACATGGCTGTAGTTACATTGTTGTAATTAGAGGGCTGTTCTCACATGGCTGTATGTAAACAGTGATACTTACGTGGTTGTACTTACATGGCTGTAGTTACATTGTTGTACTTAGAGGGTTGTTCTCACATGACTGGTAGTACACAGTAGTACTTACGTGGTTGTACTTACATGGCTGTAGTTACATTGTTGTACTTAGAGGGTTGTTCTCACATGACTGTATGTACACAGTGATACTTACGTGGTTGTACTTACATGGCTGTAGTTACATTGTTGTACTTAAGGACTTGTTCTCTGCTGACTGTATGTACACAGTAGTACTTACGTGGTTGTAGTTTGAAGGCTCTAAATACTGCGTGGTAAATACTGGGTGTCAGTTACTAGGTTGTAGTTTCTGGGTGGTAGTCACTACGTTTTGTAACAAAAGTCCCGTGGATCAAGGAATGAAGCTTTTTCGTCAGTTTGTCATGTGGGATATTGTTGTACAAAGTTATAAAAATAAAATTTTTGACAGTATAGAACTTGGTTCTTTTCTGAGATTGCAAAAAGTCAAGCAAATCTTTTGCGTTTTTTTAGAATCCATGTACACATACACCGGAAGAAGGAAAACAGATATACAGTAAACTACGGTTATAACGAACACGCTTATAACGAACTGACGGATATAACGAACTAGCTTTTTGGTCCCGACTATTTGCTGTAGTTATGCTGTATATATGCTTATAACGAACTACGGTTATAACGAACTAAAATTAGTAGTCCCTTTGAGTTCGTTATAACCGTACTTTACTGTAGTTGGTTTGAAATGAATGATGTTATAATCTGATGACTACTATGTTTTTAAGCACTGACTTCAATATTATGCCTGGTAAAACGGTGTGCAAACTATGTAAAACCGCGTACCTGTTGTAGTACTAGTTGGTAGTTACAGCATAGTTGCCATGAGCCAATTTGCCATGACCGAAGAACTTCCGGGTTCCTTTACGTTACTATTAGTTAGTATTCTGTGGTTAGACTCCTTCTGATTACGTTTGGACAGAAGTGTTTATAGTGTGAATCTGTACAAACGTCCGCATCTATGGTCTAGTGGTAGAGCGTCTGCCCGGACGGCAGAAGGTCAGTGATTCGATCTCCGGCCGCGTCATACCAATAGTCGTTGATGGTATTTGTTGGGTCCCTTCCTGGCGTCGGGATTAAGGGGATACGACAAGGTCTGGTGGGCTCGGCGTCAGTATAATTGGTATGAGTGTTAAAATGCATGGTATCTTAGTGGACTTGTACAAGCATACACACACCGCTTATACGTGCAACACTCTTGACCGCCAAGTTAAACCCCATTTCACCTCGCCACACCTCTGTACAGACACTGAGAACTTTAGGCATTACTTTTATGCTAGTGGGGAGAGGTGGAGCGGTCGAGGAGATGGAGCGACCGGGTGCCTGAGGACATACGCTCTACATTGCACTCTGCAGAGTTGCGTCCCTTTGCACTGGTAGGATCAGCACCATACCTCGCGAATAACTTCCGGTTAATGCCGCTGAAATTTCAATCTTAAGGGTGTAACCCTAACCCACACACATGTAAGAAGAAGGAGTACCACGCATCAATGTGAAGTTTCCATGGGTGTCCTACCATGTACTATATTACTTTCAGGGAGCGTGTAAACAAACAAGCGATCATTCGTAGTGCTATGGGATTCAAGTAGCCACACGATAGTAGACTTACGAAGAACATAACATCCAATTCCATCCAAACCAATCAGACGGTATATTGCTGTATGGGTATAATGACATCGAGGGTTTCTAAGATTCACAAAATGTTTAAGATATTTTATTTCATTCAGATATTTTATTTCAGACAGTTCATCATATACAAATTTTAGGTACAGGCATGAACAGTTGTAGCACTTAACTGATGATTCATTCTTAGCAGCCATATGGTTTGACACAATATGTTCACATATTCATAAGCAAATAAATAATAATAAATATACAAATCATAGATGTGTACATGTAGCACTTCATGGTCATTGATAAATGTCATAATTCATTCAGCACATGGGCGATGCGAACACCGATGGGTAGGGATACCCAGGGTACATTGGCATCATGGAAGCCTGGGGGACCGGGTATGGGAAGGTCATCATGGGACTTGGTGCCATATAGCCATACCCGGGTGTCAATACACTAGGAGTATGGGTGCGGGATTTGCTGCGAGCACGTTTGTTCTGGAACCAGACCTGGAAGAAACGAAAAATAAAATGAGTAAAAATCAATAGAGACAGACAACAGACGTTACATAGCAAATTCTATAAGTCTATAAATTATATTCATTTGATATATGTAAATGTACCCAACGTCTTCTGGTCACTGAATGATGGAATATTATCCTACTACATTTTATCAATATTGGCTTACCTTTATTTTCTTGGCGGGAATATTGAGTTTCGATGACATCTCCTCAAACACTTCGTAGTCGGGGTATTTGCACTCGGAGAAAGCCTTCTCCATTGCCCGGACCTGTGTCTGGTTGTAACAGGTGCGTCCACCCGGGGCTCGCATTCTCTGATGTGCGACAGGGCTCATCTCGGGGGACGGGACACTGGGGTTTGATCTGGTGGGACTGGGCACTGGACTCGGATCGCTGTACACACCACTGGAAGCATGGCTAGAGGCAGGACTTGGGCTGCGATGTGAGTGCATGTTGTCCTCAACTGAAAGCAATAGACAGAATTTAGTTTATAATTATATTAACATATTTAGTAATATATACGATTATGGAGATAGAAACTATTTTGAGTTTATCATTATATCATAGTTAATAATTAGTTATTAATTATTGATTATATACCACTAATTATATATGTTCAATTAGGTAAATACCTTTGTTGTAGTATTCTTGCATACTATGCGCTCCAGGGATAGGGGATGCTGTGGTTTGATGTACTGAAGGAATCTGTGGCATCATGTGATGGAGGACTGGAGGTTGATACGGCATGAATCCTGGGTAGACAGATGGATACATCCCCGAGCTGAGCATGGGGTACAAGGCATGGGGTGGGATAAATCCATAGGGGTAGCCAGGCATTGAGGGTGGTGGATACTCGCTGATTAGGGGTGTAGGTACTATCTTTGCTTCTGATAAAGATGCTTGTTTGGCAATGTTCTCGATGGTGTCACTTTTGGGTGTGTCACAAGAAGCTGATGTGATGGTGTCCTCTGTATCATCAAAAGCAATATGAAGTGCATCAGTGCCGCTGTCATCTGAGCTGACACTCTCGTCGATCTGCTCCTTCTTGATGATGTCGCTGACGTTGAAGCCAGAGGAGCGTTTCTCTGGTGTCCTAGGCTCCTGCTTGATGGGACGTTGTGTGGGCACTGGACCTGACCCTAGATCATCAGGGAACAGACATCTTGCTGACCTGGAAGCTGGTTCGGAAGTAATCTGCCACAAAAACATAAAAGGTTAAGTTTACGATAACGATAAAATGACAGTTAAAGAATGACAAAGACAGGAATTATATATTGAGTTAATATATCAATTGGATAACAGAATCTCCAACGATGACAATTTTTCATGACAAAAACTTCAAATCGTGATCCGTATGACTTTATATGGATGACTTACCTTGTTTTCCATGGTTGTTTGGAGCCTGGGACCCTTTTCAGTCAGATACTTGTGTACAAGCAGGTGATTCAGAGGTGAATGTGACGAACAGAGGTCTCGATGCCCAATTTATACCCGTCTCCAATTCACCTCTACTAAAAACAATTGATATACAGAGGTAAGGTAATCAGTGTGATTGCATCAGTGTCTTTGTCGGGAGATAATCTCTGAGAGATGACAACTAATCCGATAATCTGCCACTCAAGTGACTGGATGTTCGGCTTGGGCTTAGAGAAGGTGTCATTGGGTTGTTCGGGATGCGATCTTGTAACAACTCCTTAAAACAACAATTCGGAATAGATGAAGAACAGTGGATGTACTTTGATTAAACTGCCCATCACTTCAAAGAAGCCTTGATTGGATTTGTGATCTGTTCAGTCAGCACGATGTGTGACACTGAGTTAGACTCAATAATAAGGTTTACTCAGCATGACAGTAGGTAAAGTACACTATGAGAACGACTTGTTTAGCTTTTCTTTCAAGGGTTTAGCGTGCTCGTCAGGCGCTTCATTGGGATTTCTATAAGGAAAATAGGCGGGTGATCTTATTCATAATTAAACATTTATGAATACAGTAATGTTCACTGTTTGCATATATCCTGCTGCGTAAACATCTGTCATGCATATGACAGCACACAGATTTATCTTCTTATGGGGATTGGTAATGTCAACTGTACGAAATTCAATGAGTTTAACGTTATGGTTTAGACATATTTTTATTTCAAAAGAAATCTGGATCGGTCAACAAGCAAAACTTGTTTATGGAAATACCTATCCAAGTAATTACTTAACAACAGCTGGTTATATATAAGATGGTGCTAAACATAAACATACTAAATGCACACATGAAGCCAATACATTGAAACCAGTGGTGTCTGTGAAATAAAATAATGCAGTTTTCCATTACTACATGCATACACTTAAGCTACTCAAATCTTTTGCTTTTGACAATGACATCGTGAACTGATTTAAGAATAGCCATGTTTGTGGAACTGCTGACTGAACTACTGCCATGTAATATCGTTTTTAAATCATACCCATGTGTGTAGAAATACATGGTGTTTCTGATATCATTGTATTTTTTGACAGGTATAGAAAAAGTGAATTGCATCTTCTTAACGTTATGACATTCATGCCAAACGGTTTTGAATAGTTCTCATGAAGAGTTATAAAAAAAAAACACTTCTCCGATAAACTTGAATTTATTTTTGAAGTGGCCAGTGTTGCTAAAAGTCAATGTCTAATACTGCTAGTATCGCAACAATTGTTTCATTAAAGTTATGATTTGTGTAGTGTTCGATATTTCTTCACAGAAGCACAATAGGGGCACTGGTGGCCCAGTCGTCTAAGGCGCCGCAATTCGCTGTGCAGAGTTGCGTCCCTTCGGCACGCCAGAAACCTATGATTGTGGGTTCGAATCCCGGTTCTCCCCGATTATGTTTCTAGGTTTGTCACCACCATACCCGTGCTCGTGGGTTTCACCGAAGTGGCAAACGTCTGAGACCTGCATGACTTCGGGCTTTCCTCCCACATTAAGCTGACACGCCGTGATATAGCTGGAATACTGTTAAAAGCGGCGTTAAACATAACTCACTCACAGAAGCACAATACTGATACGCGAGGGCAGATAAACATGTATATCTGTACAGTGTTCAATAACAGTGTGTATGTTAACTGTGAAAGTGTTTAAGGACGAAATATGTTATCAATGCCAACAATGCTGGTGGTACATGAGCTGTACATTAATTATACCTTTCTATCATATTGTTACATGATATTTGTATTTTCTATTTATGTATTAAACTGCCAATGTATACGTTATCATCGGGAGCGGTCTTGATATAATTGTTGCTTGTTTACCAATCCCCATTTCATTTTACATGTATGTTCTGAAATAAAAATATATTTAAACCATAGCAAACACAATCATGTCGACAGTGGAGCACGTCTATCACATGTGTTCCTTCATTTTTCATGTCGTACGTTAATCTGGATTGGTAAATGGTGTGGGGGTGGAGGGGGTGGTGGTAAATGGTTTGTGTGGGGGTGGAGGGGTGGTGGTAAATGGTTTGTGTGGGGTGGAGGGGTAGTGGTAAATGGGGTGAGGGGTGGTGGTAAATGGTGGGGGTGGGGGGGTGGAGGGGGTGGGGGTAAATGGTGTGCGGGTGGTGGTGTGGTAAATGGTGGGGGTGGGGGGTATATGGTGTGTGGGTGGTGGTTGGGGGTGGGGTGGTATATGGTGTGTTAGGGTGGGGGGGGGGGGGTGGGGGGTGGTGGTAAATGGTGTGGGAGTGGTGGTAAATGGTGTAAATGGGATTAAAGCTTTGAAGTTGTTCATTCATGAGTGTTCAACATCCGTGTGTATGGTTTGTTGTATTCCATTAAATGTGAATCTAAATATTGAAACCACTTATTTAGATGTATAACAGACTTTAGGTATTTTGTTTGGTTTGCTGAAGGTGTATGCAAACGGAGATATATATTCCCTTATTTAACTAGGCATTATTTATGTATGATCTACCTAGAAGTGGACCAGACCCAACAGAGTAGAATATTTTGCACAAACTTGGATTTTGTTTTATTTTTTGTTTAAATTCCAAACTGTAAAAGTTATGACTAATACACTGCGGCTACCCGAATATTATTTCCTTAAAATTAAGATCGATAAAAAAAACTAAAAAAAACTAAAGAAAATAAATTAAAAAGATTGTGCAGGTAAATACAATGTATGTAAGTATGTATGTGTGTGTGTATGTATGCATGCGTGCATGTGTGCATGTATGAATGGGTGTGCATGTGTGCGCTTGTGTAAATGTGTGTTGGTTGGTATGATAGTGTGAATTAGAGGGGCAGGCGATGTGTGTACGTATGCCGTAATTCAACATAGTATTTCAGATCTTCTACATATTAATGAGTATTATCACCTTAATGACGGGTACTACAATATACTTACACCCATAACAGTCTCCTTGCCAGAAGCCAGTGTATGTCAGGGTATCCATATCCATTGTTTGTAATACATGTCAACAAGCTATCCACGCGCTGTCCTGTTGCAACCTCGCCGGTTCATGCACGTGCATCTCGGTAAACACGGACCGACCTCAATCATTACCGTCACGATCGTGACACCTGATTTGTTTCCAGTTGGACTGTCCACCGAAACAAAAACACCACTAACGCAAATTACCCAAATAATATGCTTTTTTATTATTTTTTTTCAGTTATGTGATGTGGTGTATATAGATTTTGTTTATGTTTCGAAAGTTCATTTTGTGTTTGTCATGTTTTGTCTGCGAGTGTTGTGACATTCTTTCTCTCTGTAGTTTTCATTCAGCTTTCTGTTGTCAGTTTTTGGTTATATATAGTGCACTTCAGCATTGCTAATTTATTCTTCGCGCGTAACCTTCCCGCCTGCCTCGGTAGAAAACAAACATATTCTGTAAAAAAATATGCCGGTTGATATAGCGCATTATAGACAGGCGGTGGGGTTATTTGCTTCTAGTCTATAGCAAAGCATCCAGCTTATTTATTTTTTTCTCTCTTCCTGTTGTATCTATAAGCTAAGAACGTCTATTATAGTAGTGATACTTCTCTAATGTTGCGGGGATGTTCACCCAAACCCTGGGCCAGTAAAATATGGTAATTTAAAGATTGTTCATCTAAATGTAAGGAGTTTAAAGGACAAGGTAGATCAACTCTGCACTGAATTTCATTCATACGACATTATTTGCTTAACCGAAACGTGGCTGTATGAGTAAGTGAGTGAGTTTGGTTTAACGCCCGTTTTAACAGTATTCCAGTTATATCGCGGCGTGTCAGCTTAATGTGGGAGGAAAGCCCGAAGTGATGTAGGTCTCAGACGTTTACCACTTCGGTGAAACCCTTGAGCACGGGTATTGTGCTGACAAACCTAGAAACATAATCGGGGCAAACCGGGATTTGAACCCACAATCGTAGGTTTCCGGCGTGCCCAAGGGACGCAACTCTGCATAGCGAATTGCGGCGCCTTAGACGACGGTCCATACGTCCACTGATCAGGAAACGTAAGAGAATACATAAGGTTGCTGAAGAGCGTAACTTTGATTCTGACTGGACTATTTTTCATCAAATACGAAACCGTATTATCTCCTATGTTCGCACTGCAAAGAGAAAATATGTACTCAAGTACACCAGTAATACAAACTGTATTGATTTTGCCATCACAAGGGATAAATATTTCAAATCATCATCTCTCAAGGATCTTTTTTATAATATTAATTCTCATTTAGTTATTGGGTTTTTAAAAGAGATAGAATTGTTTAACAAATTTTGATAATATGTATTGTATTAAATGAATGACCTTTTAAAAATTGGTAGAACGAAATTATATCTGAATTTGTTACTGGCCGTATCCTCAAAGGGGGTTGAAGTAGTGTAAAATTATTGTCCCCCTGAGAGGATATTGTAAGTTCATGTCATTCAAAGAATATTTCTGGCTACTAGTGTTTAAAACGTAGAATATTTGTATTTTTACTTGTGGCTAACTTTACATACAATCGCCAGTTGCTGAGGGTATGATGTAAATCCTGCTGGGGTCCATGCAGGTAGCAAAGGTACTGTAAGTCCCCATGGTCCCCAGTATGGTGGTCTGCCTTCAGTTGCTGACGATCTATAGCCCGTTTTTATTTTGTGTCGTCTGTTATAATCTGATTATCTTATTGTTCTAAAACTAGTTTTACAATTAGAATCTGTGATATTTTGCTAGTTGTTATGCTGTCCTTCGACGACAGGTCTTAAGATATTCTATAAATGCAT